GTATTTGGGGTGGGAAGGTGGTTAACTAGATCAATGCGTTTCAAACTTGAATTGCATGTGAGTCACCAGGGACTTATTAAAAATTCAGATTCTCATTCAATAGTTCTGGGATGGAGGCTGAGAAACTCAATTTCTCACAAGCTCCAAAGCAATGCCTATCATGCTAATATATGGACCACACTCTGAGAACCAAGGAACTAGATAACTTTTAAGATCACTTTTCACTACTACCATTCTCATAGAAAATACACTTCTGGAACCTAGAAAGCAGTTCTATCTTGGGCTTTCCATATGAAAGTTTCAGTGGTTGAGAGTGTAAAGGAAGCAAAAGCATGTTTGGAAATGGAACCAGAGATATTCCAAAACTCACTCAGTAAATGCATATTTTAAAAGAACCTACTCTAAACAAAGAAAAATTGTTAATAAACACTTATATATGACTGTATTTAATTATCTACTTTTACTATAAATGACCCATCATTTTTAAGAATTGGAATCAATAGCACTTATTTCTTCAATGTTAATAATTCAATTCTGTATTAAAGTCAAGACTTTAAGTGTTTGTCTAGTTTCTTCAACAAAAGTCCTTCATAATTATTCATCCGTCTCATAGCCTTCCAGTGTACAGTCTTTGCTCCATTATTTTCTTGCTTCCATTTCTATAGATCAGAACTTTCCAAATGGTGGCATTACAGATGTCCCTCAGGATATTTGGTCTTCTCAACTTTTGGGAAGGCCAGGGAAAAGAGTTCTATCCTGGGCTTCTGAGAACAAGACCCAACTGGATTGGCATTTAGGTAATCATAATTAGCACTCATTGGTCTGGTCTCAAGACTGTGAGCTCAACCTAGCTATGAGTCTATCACCTCAATATCTATGTTAGCAACTTGCTGCAAGCATGTCCCTTTTCATCATGAAAAAGGGATCTGTGGATTTGCTGAAGGAGTGATTAATTAGCATAGCATACCTACCAAAATTTGGCCACAAGAGGACAGATAATGAGAAAGAAACTTAAGAGTTCTTGTTAGGTGTATCTTTAGGCGTTTTCTCATACGTTAAATACTTTTATCAATTTGTCGTAATGTAGGTGCATAGTAACATCTCTAAAGGACATATATTTTCTAATTTAAAACTTCAATATTAATTTTTCAATACTTGACATATAAATTAAGGTAAAATTTCAACCTATAGCACCCTCATGAAATTCCAAGGGTAAATTTGGAAAAGAAATAAATGGAAGAGTTGCTATATTTAAAATAAAGTGTTTAAAAAAATAAATAAAATGTTGAAAAAATTTTAATAGCTATAAAAGTTGCTTCAAAATTTTTATTCTCTACTTGTGCAAGTAAAATTTTTTATAGACAGCAGCTATATATAAACTTGAAAAGATCACTGTTAAAATGTTTTGATTAGAAATGATATATAAGTTTTCAAGCACAAAAACTGAAACAAAAAGTAATATCAATGGAAGTATATTTATATTTCTAAATTTAAACTTATCTACATTCAGTTTTAATGTCCTTCCTCAAATATTCTCATTTATTTTCTCATCAAAATTGCATCATATAAAGACAATGTAATGAATCTCTTTACTGTGTCCCATACATATGCCCCCAAATTTCTTTAGTGTACCCCAGTACTCCATATAAATGTTGCTATTTTCTATGTCGGGAAACACTGCAATAGGTAGATTTACTTCCACAATATGTTCTGTTACCAAATATTTTCTACTTTAATTGCAAACAAATTAATTGCACACTTACCTTAATATACAGTTACTGTTACTCAAAGGAAACAAGTAAGTTTGCATAACAACGGAAAAATGCTAAACCTAAGTTATTTCCTTACTCCTTCTATGCCCCTTGAAAATACTGGGATATTGTTTTGAAGAGCTAGCAATGTTCTTTTTCTTGACCTGAATGGTTACACAGTGTTCACTTTTGATAAATCATAGAGCACATTGTTTTGTGCACTTTAGTGTACATATTTTATTTCACAGTAAAAAAAAAAAAAACACATTAAAAATTTGTTCTCTAAGACGGAAGAGATATGGTGACTATGGTTCTGAGTATATTTTTACTTCCTGCTTATACTAGCCTTGCTTTTATTACTGTCCAAGAAAAGTTAATAAATGATTAACCATATCAGCAGGCAGTTGGGAGCAGTCATGAAAGGCATAACACTCACTTGATAATTCATAATAGACACAGAGTTTTCTTTAGTTTCTGAATTATCCTGTTTCTTACATAAATTAATAAGATGAATCAAATGCTATTAAAACCAACTTAAGGGAGATAATTTGGTCTTTTATTTCATGGTATAAAATACAACATTGATAGGCCTGGAGGTTATTACCATGATGCACATAGCCGAATTGGGTTAGCACTTGATATGACAAAGATGAATTCTGCATCTATTTGCATGTTTAGCTTTGGCAAACATTCATTTCTTCTGCATCCCAGAAATTGTGGCAAATAAGGTCCATAAAGTGACACAATTTCAAAATAAATTACTGATTATATATATATGTATATATATATGTATATATATATATATATATATAGAGAGAGAGAGAGAGAGAGAGAGAGAGAGAGTTTGGATGGGGATATTCTGTTTTTGCTGTGAGAATTTAATTTACCGTATTAAGTATATCATCAAATGTTTACTTCAGATCTGTACAGTGCTCCATTTAAGACAAATGCCTCATTAATTTGACACTCACTGCCAACACTCTGATTTACTAGATCAATAATAAGAAAGGGGCAAATATGTTCCTGTTCTAACCATACCTACCTTTATTGAATATGTGCCAGGGGTTTCTTTTGCCTTACTAGCACACAGTTAGCATCTGTCTGCTGTGAAAATGAAACACCCTAGAGAGCTTGAGGCCACTCAGGCTGAGATATGAAGGGGGAAAAAAAAGAAAGCTTACCCAGCCATCAACACTCACACATGTGAATTTACAGAACAGGTAGAAGAGCTATTAATCTGAGCCCATTCCACAACATCTTGTGTGAGGGTTACACATTATTATTGTACACTTAACTGGATCACATGGCTTATTAACCTTGGCATTTGGCATTTTTGTTGAGAAGCTTTATGTTTAAGGAAATTATCAACCTAGTCTACATTTTTGCAAACATGAGCAAATGAAGAATTAGCACTACTCAGTCTCATCCTCCACCAAGTCTCATTTGCTTTCTGTATAGAGTATCTCTCACTTCCTTTTTCCTCAATCTCCTATGCCTTCTTTCCAATCTTATCCCTTTTCTTCTTTCTCCATAATAAGCTGCGCCCCCCGGTGGTTGGGAGCTAAAAAAAAAAAAAAAAAAAAAAAAAAAAAAAAAAAAAAAAAAAAAAAAAAAAAACACGAAAGAAAGAACGGAAAAGAAAAAAATAGAAGAAAAGAGAAGAAAAACCTTTCTCAGACAAGACTTTTAATCCTCCACAATTTTACTTTTGGGTTGAGTTCAACAAGCCTCCCGGAGCTCGACACAAGTAGTCACGATCATGAACCTAACCACGCTTCCCCCCTGCAGTCAATTTCCTATTGTTCTATTTAAAAGAGGGGAAAGATACAGATGAAATGAGAAATAGCTTGATCCTGGCTAGTTGCAAAACGACAGCAGTTTTTGAAGCTCTAAAGGAAGGGTAGCACTGACCACAGACGCGTGTGGCGCTGTCCATTCCTTGGTGCTGAATACTACACACGGGGTCATTTCCAGCCAGCTCAAGCCCTCAGTATCAAAATAGGCTCAGCTACGGTAGACTGAATTCATTTCCGGGGGATAGGAGGTGGGGTGGGGTGCGAGGGGGTCATTTAGACTTTTGCTTTTTCTCTTTCCAGGAAAAAAACATTCTTCCACAAAGTGACACTGTGCATTTTATGGAAAAATAATGGCACAGCTTCAGTTCAACACCAAAGTGAAGACCTCTACTGAAGAAAAAAGGAAAGTTCAGAGTTAATAAACCTGCTTTTTCTCTTCCTGAGTTAACACAACAGGTTTTGGGTTCCTAGACCCCCTTGTTGATGGATAAATGAAATAATTTTCTGTTAAAAAATCACGTCACTAATCATTTTCAGATAAGCACAGTAAAAAAGGGGTGATGCTAGGCTTTGCAATATCTGGAATAGAATTCTAGAATTCTAGATATTGTTTTACTGAGTTGAGAAACAGAGGAGAGGAGGAAGTAAACTTGCTTTTTAAGATGGTTTCAATGGTTTAAAAAAATATTTTTAAAAGTATTGCTTTAACAATGTCTTCCAGACATGCTCATTTTCTTAGGCAATTTAAATCAGAATCTAGGCAATAGGAGTTTTCTCCTTTCTGCTCTACCAGCCTCTGTCCAATTTCGGATTTAAAACTGCTGTTCTTCCTACCAAGTGCTGATGTCCAGAGGGCTATTATAAGAATCCACCCCTTGCCCTCCTCCCAACCCATGAGATAATTAAGTAAATATAAAGAAAACGGACAGAAGGGAGGGAAAGTGTGCTTAACTCCCAGCCTTTGGTTCTTAGTAGTTACATTTAAATGGGGGCACTTCTCTTTGAGAAGTGAAGGTGTTTCTCATAGCTACAGAATTTACAGTCAGTCAGGGAGCCGACTTAACTGATCCCAGCAAACGGTTCCTTCCTTTTCTTAATCCTTCGCTGCTTATTTTAGCCGCTTCTCCACCCCGCCGGGAATACCATCCAGATCTTAGTCCAGGTAGATCTGACGTCAAGAGATGGCTTTCGTCGATTTGACGTGTAAACACTCATTTCCATTCCGGCTAGGAAGGGCTGGGGCTCCACTCAGCCGGGAGACCAAAGAGCGCTCGCCACCGCCCAGCCTCTACTCGCGCGCCTCCTATCTCCTAGCAGAGCAACCCCGAGCGAGAAGTGGTCTAGAGTCCGAGGGTGAAAAGGGCGAGTCTTTCTGGCTTTTCTTCTTTCTTGCTTCTTGTCTTGCTTCTTTTCCTCGTCTCCTTCGACTTGTGTGAGAGCGAGTGTGTGAGCCATGGAGCGAAGAGCCTGGACTCTGCAGTGTACTGCTTTCGCTCTCTTTTGCGCTTGGTATGCATTGAACAGTGTAAAAGCTAAGAGGCAGTTTGTGAATGAATGGGCAGCGGAGATCCCCGGGGGACCGGAGGCAGCTTCAGCCATAGCCGAGGAGCTGGGCTATGACCTTTTGGGTCAGGTAAGAGTTTGCACTTTCCAGAAACTTTCTGGGGCCCAAGGGGACTGGCGGGACTGAAGCGCGATCTCCCAAGTGGGAGCCCCAAGTCGCACTCTCCTGAACCCATTGGCAAAGAGCCGGAGCTTCTGCAGCTCTCGCCCCTGGCGCGCTTGGAGAAAGAAGGCTTGCATTATTTATTGTTTGGGCTGGAAGCAGCCAGGCAGAACGAAGCCGCTGCAGCTGGGTAGAGCCTATTCTTGCTGCCGTCCGCTTTGGCATTTAAATCCATTCCCGCGTGGTTTGGGAGACAAATCCCTCCACACTTGTTCACCGAACTTGAGATGCACGCGGGCTCTTACCGACCAAGCGCCCCCGGGAGAGGCTTACTGCTCTTGCCCCCTGGGACTCAGCTGGTCTCTGCGTCAGGATCCGGCTGTTTCCTTTTTTTCAATATGGCAGCATCAGATCCAAGTCCTGATGCATGGGGTCAAGCAAGCTTGGTGATATCCGCCGGCAGCCTTTCAGGCACGCTCAGGGAGTTGGGAGAACGCCTGCGGCAGAGACTCGAGACCTAGAGGCTGGGGGCCTGCGGAATAGCCTGGGGAGCTGGTGGGAGAAGAGGTAGGTGAAAGACAGGGGACCAACTCTCCGCGCCTCTACTGGGAGGTCCGAGTCTTCACGGGGAACTTGTAAAGTCCGAGCTTCACAACTTTGCTGGGTCAGTCTCCCTGAAGGGTCAAGCTGCCAAAATGACTGTGGGGAAAAGTTATCTTTTTTTCTTGTTCCTCAGCCAAATGCCTAATAGCTTCCCTGAGGATTTCAGCCTGTGATAAAAACTTGCCTGTCCAAGTGACAGCTGGTTTAATAGCTGGGGGGAAGGGTAGGGCGTAAAGCATTATGAGAGTGACAGTTTAGGTGTGGGATTTCCGGGGAATCCCAGGGAGCGTGATTTCTAATCTAAGCTTTCATTTTCTTTGGCTTAGAATCAAGCCCTCTCCCCTTGCCTTGGAAGTGTGCTTTCAAAGCGGGGGAGGAGGGAGTTGTAAAACATTTTGGCGCGGTTTTTCTTTTTCTGGAGGTGGTTTTAGAGAGGCCGCTGAAGTCACGGATGAGTAATCGTAATCGGTGTAGGCGTTGGCGAATCCATAGATCAAATCTGCTGGGGAATACGACTGTCCTTGCCAGAGGCTTCATTCTCCAATTTTATGAGCTAAATTGTCTTTAAAGTGCCCAGCAGAAAAGTCAATACGCAGATTGACTTCTCCATGTCCTAGTAGCAGACCAAGACTTTTTGCTTTTGCCCAGACTCTGTTCTGTGCCAGGCTCCATGTTAGGGGCTGAGGAATAATAGGAAAAGAAACTTTCAAAGAATCAAGAATCTAGAGGAGACCGTTTAGGAACAAATAATTGGAACTGCATGTAACTGATGGAGAAGTTGCACCTGGATTCTTAACATTTGTTGATGGAGGGATTGAAGATGGAAGGGAATTGGGGAGGAGTGAAAAAATGACTGCCCAGTGGAGGAAACATTTTTGAACAGAGTTTAGGAAGACTCAAAAGTTGCCAGGAGAACATGTTGAGATTGGAGAGGCACTCAAGGCATAGAAACCAGATTGTGGCAAACCAAGAAGATACAAATAAAGCAGCTTAGAAGAAACAGCAGGGAATTGTTGGCATCTTAAAACAGAGTGCAAGCAGTAGGTGGAATTGTACTGGTAGTTACTGTGGACATTATGGAAATCTTGTGCATCCTATGGGGGGTAGCTGGGGACTTAATCCTATATCTTCTGGGCAGTTAAAGAGCACTGGTAACTATGTGGAAAGAGATTGGGTAACAGTAAAAAAAAAAAAAAATTCCCTTTTTCTTTACTCACTGTTAGCTCCACACATACATCCTAACCTGGACCATTCATTATGGGAATTGCTTTCAAAATTATAAATCCCAAAACCAAACAACAACAAATCAGCATTCTTGGTAGGATCTCCAAAGAAAGGATGGAATAGTCACAAGAAGCTTTAAGAAATAGAGGGGGGGAAATCTACATTGACATATGATTTGCATATGCTATATTTTCTCTAGCCTCTTCCAGATAAAATGATATTACTAAAAACATTTTAAAAAAATAATTCTTTGTGAAAGACAGTGCTTTCTTGATTCTGTTTATTTCTCCCTTTGTTTACAGTAATTTAGCATCACTATCCTAAGCTCCTGAAGGTCTCAGGATAAAGCTAGAATTAAAGAGGTGACCAGAAGCAAAACCAGTTGATTGCAGAAAAAGAGCTAAGCATTGGTGATCTTTTTGTATGGCTACTCTTCCCTCTTCCCAACTCCATATATGGAAAGCCTTGAACTAGTGTAAAGTCAAATAGTCTCCACTAGTAGCTTATAACAATTATGGCTATAGATTCAATAGCTATATTTTACAACAACAACAAATCATTTTAGCTGGATGTAACACTGACCATATATAGTATTCAAAGGGTTTACCAGATTTCCACAAATTATTCTTCTCTGACAGGATAAATTTGATAAAATGGGTATTTTTTTTAAAAGAAATGTCTATCTACACAATATTGTCTCACACCAAAACAAGTGTAGTTCCTCTGAAATCTGTGAAAAAGAAGTATCACCAGTGCCCAAATATACTATGAGCTCAAGCGATAATATTGTGAGCTCCTCTCACTCAACACAATGACAAGAGAGGGAAGGCTTCTATCAGTGTTTTCCTCATAAAGAAAAAAAAAAAAGTTAACTTCAAGCACACTGAATGAGCTTAATAAAAATTGCCTGTCTCTAAGTTACTTGGGTTACAAGCTAACCCATATGTACTTATTTTGGAAAGTGAATTTTTATTTTATTTTTCTTTCATAGATTGGATCACTTGAAAATCACTACTTATTCAAACATAAAAACCATCCCCGAAGGTCTCGAAGGAGTGCTTTTCATATTACTAAGAGATTATCTGATGATGATCGTGTAAGTGTTGTGCATTTGTCTTCAAACTGGTAACCTGACTTACCTGTTTAATGATTTCCGACAAGAGCAAAAAGCACTTTGCAAATATGAATATTTTTTATTGTGATCACAAATATTTATCTGTAGTGCTTCTTGTTGTTTCCATAGGGTTATGATTGCACATTATTAAAACTGGATTGGATAGACTGAGTTAAATAAAATTTATGTACTATACATATTTGATATATTAATATATTAAATCATATTTTATTTTAATTTATTTTAATTTATTCAATTTAATTACATTTAATATATATAATATGTTTAAAACACTAACTCACAAATCTAGTCTAAGAGTATGAAAATGAATGGTGAAAATTAGATGGCAGCTCTAATAAAAATGTTTGCCAATACAATCAATTAACAACCTGTTATTATATGCCTATTATGTACCAAGCACTTTGATATCCAATGTGGGGATGCCAAAGAAATGTAATACATGATCATTGATTTTAATAACATTTCAGAATAACTGAAAACACATTCTGCCATGTCTTTGATTTCATTATATGGAGAACTAGTGTTTATGAGGACACTTTAAATCCATGCCTTCATGAGCCAAATGTTTCCACAAGTATTATATTGTTTCACTGAAAGCATTTGATTTCTTTTTATCCTGGTTTGTATATATATTCAATGATTAGGCAAGAGCAGGAAATGTCTAGAATGAGTCTAGGTAAATAGTGTGAGGATGATTTGAATGTATACCTAATGTACCTAATGATTTTTGAAGTCTGTTTTCAAGGTCAGCAAACATATCAATAGAAATGTTGACTATATCAGGAGCATCGAAATTTGCATACAGTGTTGCATTTTCTCAAGAATGTGCCATACTGGTAGAAATGTAACCTGGCTGGCCTGTTTTCTGTTATTATGATATCTGTTGTCTAGGACACTCTAAAGAATTACGGAAGCTTTGTGAGAGATAGAATACATCCGTTCAACTTGCTAGAAAGAAAATATAAGTACAGAAAGGTGATAGAACTGTTGAAAGTACATGGAATTTATAAACCCTGTGAGATAATTTGCTATTTTATTTGTTCTGAAACTGATAGAATTTTAAAAGGAAGAATAAAAAGACAAATTATGAGGGTAAGGAATGACTGGGCCTGGGTTACCAGCAACCACACCTGGGCAAAGAATGCTGTATGAGTACATTGTATAGCGACCCACAGCTCCTATGCACCTAAGGCTAGCCTTTACTAAGGTTAATGGCTAGATGTGTGAGACCAATTCAAAGGCTGAACATTACTTGAAAGGGTTCTTGTCCAGTGAAGTCTTCCTTTTGCCATCCCAGAGCAGATGACTCATTGTATGGGCTCTGTAAAGTAGGACAACTTCCAAGACTCTGGCTAAGCTTAGTCCTTGGGCATAGCAAGAAAGAGATTTCCTTGTCTGCCTAAATGCATGCCTGACATTAATGCACAAGAAGTCAAACTAACTCCCTTCTCATATTCACAGAAGAAAATTGGACAGAGTGGAGCATACCTGTTATTATTACTGCAAGTGTCTCACTAAAGTGAACAGATAGCCCAGTTCTATTGGGCTATTTAGATATTGTTTAATAGTTGATTTGGAGGGGAATATCTCAGGAATAATGAAGGAAAGCTAAGAATTTAGTCTGCAATATAACTTCATAAAAAAGGGAGTGTATATAATATTATGAAAAATTATCCACAGAATAACTTTATTTTAGGAAAAATCCTAGAACCCATAGAAGCCAGTAGTGGAAAGTTGGACTAGATGATCTTTAATGCTCTTCCCATATCAAAAGGATTATTTATAATTAAGTACATGCTACCTATTATGTACATAATAGAAAGACACCACCAATTTCTTCTATTCCATTTGTGCTGTTCTTATAGAGATTAATATGGGATTTGGAGTTAATGACATTAATCATAACACTGTTTCCAACAATTGGATGTTTATCTGATCAGATGGCAGAGTACCTCTTCTTATATTCCATTTTTTTAAAAAAATTGCTTTTGATTTTCATTTTATTGCCTTCTTTTTGATGGAGGATAATATTCTTTCAAATTAGCCCTCTGTAATGCAGCAATAGGCTATCGTTACAAGTCTTTTAATGAAATTTCCAACTGTAAGTGACTCTCTTCATCAAAGACTAGTACTTGTTTCCTAGCAGCCAGCTTCCAAAGACCAACTCAGATGACAGGCAGTATATTCCAAGCATTGAGGTATTTTAAACCAAAACAATTAAGCTTGAACATACAGACTCTTTAAAAATAAATCACAGTGACTAATTTCTAGCTTTCAAGTACCTCCCAATATTTATTATAGGTTTGCAGTAGATTTTTCTAATTACAAATTCAGGACAGTCTTAGTGGATAGTTTTATTCTTTAGCTGCAAATTATGGTTTAGTTTTTATTTTTGATTCTGACTCGTGTCAGATTGTTCTCACATTAAAAACATCCCACCAGACACTGGACTATCATCACGTGTATGACAGAGAGAATGTTTTGGGTAGGAAACAGTCATGTTGCCCAGCGAAATAAGAGCATGGTATTACTTCATAATGAATATAACCATAAGGCAGTCCCTCTCCCTCAGGGTCTCAAGTATAACAGGATTATGCCATAAATGTGGGAAAGGTAATTTTTGTATTGTCAAATCTCTATGCATAATACATGAGACTAAATTAATGGTAAGTGTGCATGGTCAGTAGTACTCATTCATCACCCTGGATCTGTTTCTCATATTAAATACTCTTAAGCAGGAGGCAGAAGCACAGGGGAGCCAGAGTTTCAGATTTGCAAAGACAAAGCACCTTTCTTGTCATGCATAACATTTGCAACTTCTACCTTTTGCATGTAAAGAAAGAGAAATTAAGCTGTAAGAGCACCTTAACAGCAGTCGCTGGAATCTCTTAGCCTGTTGACTCATTCCATGAAAATGGACAAATTTTCAGCTACAAAACTCTGAGATCTCAATAAAAAATGGGTATTATGGTCCATTTGCTGATGAAAGCAGACTGAACTTTTACTTCCACTGGAATCACAGCGTAAATAATTTGAGGGAATCATCACTTCACTGACTCCTTCTCCTCCCCCTAAAGGTACAGTTTACTGTAATAGAGGAAATGTTCATCTCCTACTGCCCAGTGGGCAATCCCGTCTTCTCACTGAGCTGCCAGTGTTATCTGTAGTCAAATGAAAACATTTTAGAGCTGCCTCACCTCTGATGGGGAGGGTACTGTAACTAGTTAAAGGGAAGATGGTTACACAAAGGTGGGTATCTGAGTGCTGATTTTCTTGCTATGAATATTTATTTTAACTCCTTGTAGGTGATATGGGCTGAACAACAATATGAAAAAGAGAGAAGTAAGCGTTCAGTTCTAAGAGACTCAGCACTAAATCTCTTCAATGATCCGATGTGGAATCAGCAGTGGTACTTGGTAAGTACTTCCAAAAAGACTGTATAGGACCTGGGATACTTATTTTATTAAATCTGCACAATAGATTTTTTTAATGATGGGGAATTCATCAGAAGGCTATGTTACCTGGAAATTAGGGCTGATGGGAACTTCCATCATCTGGATCTCCCGTTTCACTAGGTGAAAGTGTCTGAAACACAGATATTTAGCTGCTATGAAAGCTATGATCTTTGAAAGCTGCTATGAAAGAGAAGAAAGTTTGCTACTTTCTTCTCTTAAGCTTATCTGGAGTAAATGCAGAATTGTGTCTTGCAAGTTAAGGGTTCAAAAACAGTAATCGTGGCAAAAATCACATTTGGTCAAAGTTACTCTTGAGAACCTTTAAATCATCCAAAAGGTAGAGTGAACATGATTCATTATATATGGTCCTGAGTGGCAATTCTTACATGCTAATAAGTGAGAATTTCTGAGCTAAGCTAAAGGAAAGAATACAAGGAGACAAAAGACATCTACATGCAGATGTATAGACTTATAAACTGTTTTGCTTTTAAGATACCAAATCTTCATTGGTATGTGAGTGTTGAGTAATTTTAAGTGTTCTTTCTTACCTGCAGAATATTCTCCCTTCTGTTTTAATATTAAGACTCTACGGCAGTCATACATATTGATAGAAGTGTTCTTTTGTTGAGAGTATTATAAAATATAAGTTTTCATGACAACTATAAGCTAAGGTTACACATCCTTTTTGCATAAAAGATGGGAGAAGGGATCAATTCTTCTTGACATTCTCTTAACCTAGGTAGTACTTGCTCATTGCAGTGAAAGAAACTCATTAACATCTGTGTATTGACTATGCCAAATACTATCCTAAGTGTTTGACATGAATTAACTCCTTTAATTCTCACATTATATTGTAGATACGATGCTTATACCCATTTAGCAGATGAAGAAACAGAGACAAGGGCAAGTTGAGTAACTTGCCAAAATCATATGGTTACCAGTGGTGGGGCCATAATTCATGGCTCCAGAGGCCATACTCTTAATGACCACACCGTATGATTGTTCTTGCAATTGACACAGAGGTCTTCTTCTCTGGCTTTGTCCAAAAATCTATCTGTAGTTCCAACCTCCTGTGATTCAGCTTTGTATTGGCCTAGTAAGAGTTTTCCCCTCCTTCTTTCTGAGGAGCATCAGCCAGGGCACAATTCATTCAGACATTTTTTGACTGTTATTATTTATAAATTTTTTACTGTCCCCTTCACCAGAAACCTGGCACTTTTCTAAAACATCTCCCTTATATGCTTTCCCAAGCTCATATCTCTATTCCCTTCCCTTATAGTCCCATACACTGTAACTATCAGAAAATTTATCTGAAAAAAGAAAACTCCACATCTCCTCTCATAGATACTTACCCTCTAAATCACTCATACTTGGAAAAAGGCAATTAAATTGCAAGTCCTGGTGAGCCAGCAGCCTCCTGGGCATTCCAGGTTCTGCTTTTTCTTTCCGAAAAGTTATTAAAACATCCGTGAATAACTGTCAAACAAACAATGTAAAGTAGGTTCAGTGTGGCAAGGGAAGCTCAGGATTTGGGGAGAGATGGAAATATGGGACATCACATAAAACTTTGGTAGATAAAAAACCTGAGCATATCATTATAAATGAATGAAACTTAGGGATCAACTTCTTAGAAGCCATGTATCTCAGTGAGAAGGGGCACAGGGTGATTCATCCTTTCGAATGATTTTTCCATTAGAACAATTGGGAAAAGAACAGCACTCTTATGATTCACTTGCCCTACCATCAACTTTATTTTTTTATTTCACCTAATTGCATTCTTTCTAAAAGTAGAGTGACCCTAGGAAAAAGAAAGATGGGTCTTCGGACTAGAGCTTCAGTTTTCATTTTGCAGTAAGCAAATCATGATTTTACCAATTCTTTGTTTTTCTTTACCAGCAAGATACTAGGATGACTGCATCCCTGCCCAAGCTGGATCTCCATGTGATACCTGTTTGGCAAAAAGGCATCACAGGCAAAGGAGTTGTTATCACAGTACTGGATGATGGTTTGGAGTGGAATCACACAGACATCTATGCCAATTATGTGAGTCTGGGCCCTCCCATGACTGCAACTTAGGGAGCTGTCTACACAGACACATAGTTAAGGCTTTCCTTTCCTCAAGTGGAAGACTTCTCGGATACTGGCCCTAGGAACTATGGGCCAAGGTTTTGCTATTTCCCTCACCCTCCTGCCAGTACATATGAACTTTTTTTTGTATGAGTAGGCACTTAAAGAACTCAGTGGAGCCAAGGATTGTACAAAAGCTTGTGTGCTGGGGAGGGAGAAGGCACCTATACAAATTAAATTATTAAAAGCCATTCAGACTCTATATCACTCAGTATCTAGGGCATTAAAGCAATCAAATAAAGAATAATGCCTTAGATCATTTTTCACAGTCTTCTTCCTCACTCACATCCTTTATAGGTGAATATCTCTAACATTATACAATTATGTGAATGTGATTCCTTCCATGCAAATTCAAATAATGCAAAAATGGCTCTCAGAGAAAAGTTTATCTTAAATGGAAAATAAGTAAATGAAAACTATTTACTTAATTGTTAAGTTCTAAGTGATATCTTAGGTCTTTAGATCAGTGTTTCATCTTTAAAATTGTCCCATGTGTTTCTCTCACCCTTTCCATTCATTCAAAATTCTCCAGCTAAAGAGCAAAGGAAAATTAAAGGAAAAGAAAGGAAGAAAAAGATTAGTAGAAAGTAGGAATTATTAAAAGATATGGAAAGTGTAGAGAAGAGGCTATAGTGGTAGTAGAATTCCTATATGGGAGATGTTTAAGTGCTATCTGATTGGAAAAGGAGGTGGGACCTAGAAGCATGCCTTAAATTTCAAGCACACTTTATTCAAGTTAGATGCTTAGAGTAATTGGGAAGGCTAAAGAGATCACTGTGGACCTGAGCTCCACCCCACGGTCACCTATTTGTACCTGTAATCATAAGAAAGATGAGTATCCAAGTGTTGCTAACTAGCTCTGTAGTTAGTTGTCATTCAACTTCTCTGGGTCTCAGTGTTCTCACTTAAAAAATGAGGCAGTTGAAATAAGTTAACTCTGATTCCTTCCGTTGTAATATACTATGAGCTTAATGAGCTACAGGTTTGGTGACATTCAGTGCTAATTGTATGCTTGCTCACTCTTCTGTGTATATCATCTTTGCCTAGTTTATGGGTATAATGAATGATCAGAAACTGGGTCAGAAATTCTGAAATGCAGAATTTGAGCTATCAGCCAGGATGGAAGGGGTAGAGGGCTTGGGAGGTGTTAACTTTTTTTGATGATGCTACAGGATTATTTTTTATTCTCTTTAGGATCCAGAGGCTAGCTATGATTTTAACGATAATGACCATGATCCATTTCCCCGTTATGATCCCACAAATGAGAACAAGTGAGTAAATGTGGATGGGGGGGGGTAGAGGGGGAAAAAGTTATTTAAAATGCTTTTATCTCATTTGAGAAAATTATACAATAAATATGAACCATATTTCAGCTCTCAGAAAAGTTTTCATGCATACCAATCCATATCATAATATTTTGTTCCTTTTAAAACAGAAACCAACGCTTCTATTTTTATATTTCTTTTGGCTTACAGGACCATAGTTCAATTAAACTTTCTTCTTATGTTGCAAATGCTCACCTCAAATGGCACTGAATAGTTATGGCTTTAGAAAGAATGTTTGGGTCATAAAGAGTAAAATCCTCCAGCCTACCCTCCCCAACCCCATCAATGAATGCTTTACTATTTGCAACATGTTTGATGTTAGTTGTGAAAATAAAAATAGAAGACAAAGATAACAATTCCCCATGACTTCTTTTAGTGGCCACAGCCATGCTCGTCAGTTCCCTCAGAAAAGCATATCAGACAACAAAAGCCAGATATCAGACAACAGAAATACACTCTGAGGCCTGGCTCTCAAATCCAACACGTTTTCTGGGGCATTGGACTAGTCAGTAACCTTTCCCAGAGTTTCTGCTGCAGATTCTAAAGCTAAAGGGAAGGGAAAGACAATTACCTTCTGACTCCTAAAATAATTCTCTGTAGCAGTCACAATGTGATGAGGGAGTCCAAGAGCCAGACCTGCCAAAGCAAGAGGCCAGATGAAACCCAGAGCCAGGAGACTTTCTAACCTTCTTTCCTAGCTGCAAAGAAACTACACCCTCTAGCCACGTGGCCTCAAATGTCCATGGCCATGTGAGAACTCATCTTTGCACATGTTATCTTCATAACTTCAGGAAAACTTTCACACTTTCTTCTTCATTTGCTCCACGGAGAAGAGACTTGCACAAAAATAGATCAAAGCCAAGGCAAAATCAGGGCTTGTTGCTACAAATGGGATGGAAAGATGCTACATAAAGTGGTTCTTTTTTCTCTCTGTATGGCTTTCTTTCTTTCGGACTATTACCCAACTTGGGTCAATTGAGCTCTCTCTCACTTGCTCTCTTTCTCCCTCTTTCCCTCTTTCTTTAGCTCTTATTCTCACTCAAAATTCCTATGTGGCTGGTGCAGTAATGTTGATCTAAAGTTTTTCTTTGGATGATCCCCTTTCCAGAAGCGCAACAAACACCAGGAAGAGAGCTGAGGCTCATGGACTTGGCCTCAACTTCTGGGTGTATATTTCCTCCTTGGAGAAAAGGGGAAACTTGGGGAAGGTTCCAAGATATTGCTTCTTTCAGTACCATTTACTTCCAGGGTTTATTTCTTAAAGGTGCTAACTGCAAATAATGCTGAAAAGTTAAAATATTCCCATCTCAATACAACAGGAACCACAATGGGTGCCCTCGGAAGAAAGTGAGATATCTCAGGAACTTATGGCAGGGACCCCAGACAAACTTGGAGCTATATTTCTGAGCCAGGACAGTACAGGGCCAGGAGAAATATGTGCTCTTTTGGAGCATGATCTTGTAATATTAGCTTGGCTGGTGGTCATTGCTTTGCCAATTATCAGTATAGAAAGTGACCTTTAGGAAATCACTTACCTCTCTCTGCCTCTATTTTGCACTTTTATCTCCCCAAATGGGTGATAATGCACTTGCTCTCCACTCTCCTGAAAGGAACTTCCTGAGGAAATGAACAATAGCTTCTTGGAAGAAAGGGGCACCCTTCTTAGAATGAAGTAAAAATGACAACTCTCCTTCCACCCCCTTGGCCAAGACCAAAAGAGAAATCTTCTCTCAGCCATATGGGTGCAGCTGAGAAGACTGTTAGCTGGAAGTGTCAGCCTTCTTCCTAGGCAGCATACTCTAGGTCTGGCCCCATGATCCAATATGGATGATAAATTGTGTAGTGGCTGCATGATAGCTGAATACTTGGTGAAATGATATTCTCTAGAGTTTCTCTACTCATGAGAAGAGGGACTCAGATTGCCCTTTCCCCTCCCCTACAAAGGAGGAGTCTCATATCCAGCATTTATAATAGCCACATTTCCCCTAATTCATGGAGGTCCAAAGCCTTCAAAGAAGTTGCCCATATGATGGTAATTATTTTATGCCTAAAAACCGGTGAGTTTCTAGAGCATAGCCTGCCATGGACCTCCCACACAGCATAGAGTTAGTGTGACATAGCCAAACAGTTAAGAGCATAGGCTTTACAGCTGGATTTAGATTAAATATTAGATCTGCCACTTAGTAGTTGGATGGCCTTGAACAAATTACTTAACTTCTTTTGTGCCTCAGTTTTATCATCTATTAAAAAGGGATAATAATAGTATCTACTTTGTTGGGTTATTATGGTGTTTAAATGGGTTTATATAGGTAATTGGCTTGTATAATATCTGGTACATAGAAAAAGTTGTGTTTGTTTTGATGATGATGATGACGATGAAGTTTTCTCATTTAGCAACTAAGACCTCCTTCCAGTAAGAAATCAGCATGACAAGAATAATATCCAAGAGGAGCAGAAGCAGAGACAAGTCAATTTTCTGAGCCAATTCAGGATCTGGTCTTTGAAAATGACACAATAAGTAACTATCTCTCAGGGTCCTCTTGACTATCAACCAAAAAGGTAGCATCCCTATCATTTATCAAGAGGTATAATAAAAAATAGAGTTACCCTTCTAGCATGTTGTCAGAAATAAATCCCTTAGGTTTAGAAAATGAATGGCTCCATTTTGCCTTGGACTTTATAGCATTTAGAGACCTATTATATCCCAATTCCAAGGGCATTATCTCTCTAAACTATCTGTGTTGCTGCTCTTCTTTATTACTATGTAAATGAGATTAATAGAAGCTGCATTTGAATTCTCCTCCGCAAATCAAAAGAGGAATCACTAAATAATAAAATCCCAAAAGTACAGGTAACTCTTACTATTAAGCTGCCATGAATCTATATTCAAAATTTCAATACCAATTACAGATTATTTTTCTAGTTAAATAACATGTGTGACAAGGATGTTTTAACCAGTGTAATATTAGTCTTTAAACTATCTTGTGGAATAATTTTTTAAAAATCAATTTGTTTAAATGCCAGTTACTACCATTGTTCTAAGATAATAAAGGGTTCTTTTATCTCAGAGCCTAATTTAAGGAAAGAAAAAAAGCTGCAGGTCTACAAAGAATGACATAGCACCACTTTGATAAAGCCTTCCCTTTTTCTAAAAGTGTGGAGGTGGGAAGTGAGGGCAAGAGGAGGGAAAAACATCTACCCTTTTTTGTACCATGATCCTACTGGACCTTTCAAGAAAATAATGTTCAGTACACAAGGAGAGAGAAATAATAGGTGGTGTCACAGTGTATCATTTTTAGGACAGAGGTGCTGTGCTGGGAATGTTTGCCAACAATTGGATTCTATTGGCTCAGGCGAGAGACTTTGCTATCCTGGCCTTAGTTCCCATTCTGTGTAAATGGAAACACAGGTGGTGGACTTCTAGGAACACACTTGTCAGAAGGTGACAACTCAGTTTCTCCTTCTACAAAAGCAAAGAGGGTTAATCCATCAAAGCATAAGCTTCCTTTTATGTGTTCAGTGTGCACACATTTCTCAGAGCATGGGTGGTTGGTCAGGACACTTTCAGTTGCAAGTGAGGGAATCTTAACTCAAAGATTAAGTAAAATGGGCATTTAAAAAAAAATTACTCAAGGGATGGTCTAGCTTCAGGCATTCCAAGATCTGGGAGCTCAAATAATATGCTGTCAGGACTTCAATCACTGTCTCCATCTCTTAGTCTCTTGCCTCCAATTAGCTTCATTCTCAAAAAGTAAAAGAAATCTTGCCTGGCGGCAAGCTCCACATGGCTCACATGGAACTTAAAGCTGAAGAATTTAAAGAAAGACTAGAATTCTCTTCCCTGGAATGTACAACAATCCTTGAAAGCTGTCTGGGAAGAGGAGCCTCATGAGAGAATCAAAAGGAGTGAGGGAGAGCTCCTTCCCAAAAAGGACAAAATGCTAGGAAAAAAAAAAAAAGTGGCAGATATCTGCTACATTAGGAAAGACCTCGAATTAAAGATAACTACAGGGGCACCGGGGTGGCTCAGTCGGTTAAGTATGGGACTTTGGCTCAGGTCATGATCTCACAGTTTGTGAGTTTGAGCCCCAAGTTGGGCTCTGTGCTGACAGCTCAGAGCCTAGAGCTTGCTTTATATTCAGTGTCTCCCTCTCGTCTCCCTCTCTCTGCGCCTTCCCACCTCACATTCTGTCTCTCTCTGTCTCAAAAATAAATAAAGGTTAAAAAAATATATAATTATATTGTTCTGACTTAGGATTCCTATCCAGTATTAATATGAAGAAGCAGAAATATCATTTAGTAAAAGGAGACCAAGAAATGATCTTTGGTACTTTAGAATAAAAGATACATGAAAGAGAATTATTTTGGATAGTCAATTTCAAATTTTTATATTCCATGCTGAGCAAAATAGATGTCTACTATAATAGTGTCTAAAAGTAGCTGGTTGACAGAGTTGCTCAGAGCTAACTTTTCCCCTCTTTTCTGTTAGCTCCTCCAAAGTATCAACAGCCTTTACACTGCTTCCAAAATGCAGTAACGTCGTGAAATAAATTCACATTAAAGTTCTCTTGACTTATTGACCCTCCTGAGGTCAGGGTCATGGTGGGAAAGGATGATTATTATCCCCACATTTTCAGAATTGATGTTTTAATGCTAGAATCTGCTCTGTTTTAGAGATTGACATTTCCCTCCAAGTACTCTGAAATCATAAATTACCCTCTTTGCCTGATTACAAAACCAGTCTTCTTCAGGCTTCCAGCCCCAATCAGAGTTACAGGAGAACCCTGATTTCCCAATTAGCCTGGAGTGTCCTATTAAAATCTCAAACTCCTCTTGGTACCAGAAAACCCTCAGTTGCTTTAGTTTGGTAGTATATGGTTAGAGGAAGGGAAGAGAGCTTAAGAGGAGAATTCTGTTCTACTTACCCTACTAGGACTGGTCAGAATAACCTAATCCAAGGAGGTCACTAGGGATGGAGTGAGGAGCTACTTCACCAAAAAGTATGGAATAGAAACCATGATTTCTAAAAGTGTCAGAATTGCTCACGATAGTATCCATAGCTAACACTTCCTGAACTCTTATATTATACCAGCCACTATTCTAAGTGCTATACATGCAATATCTCACATGTTTGCAACAATACTCTTGAGGACAAATGACTTACCTAAGGTCACACCACTAGTCAGTGGCAGAAGCTGGAATTTGAATCACATACTTCAACTCCAGTACCCTTTCATCTGATACCTGCACTTCAACAAATACTGATGGGAAGGAGACCAGCAACAAAGGTTGACCAAAAAGTTAATATGACCATGTACCATGGATTCGTGTGCAAATAACAGTTTGCCCTCACTTATGTTTTATAATATCTATTTTTTAATCTTCAGACATGGGACCAGATGTGCAGGAGAAATTGCCATGCAAGCAAATAATCACAAGTGTGGGGTCGGAGTTGCATACAATTCCAAAGTTGGAGGTAAAGCAGAGGGTTGCTCCTGCAGTTCTGCACTTCAATTTGACTCTTGCATCACTTGGTGTAAATGAGGTGGGAAGGGGGGCTTTCAACAACCAGAAGAAGAAATGAATTCCATGTAGAATATGCTGCAGGATTTGCAAACAAATCAATGGATCTGGATTCCTAAAAAATGATAGCCGAATACAGCCTGTACATCTTTGTGGGGAGAAAAATGGAAATGTTGAAAAGCTTTTGAACCAAATCTAATTTTCTCTGTGTGCTAATTTACAAGGGTTTGTTATTGAGTACTTGCTAAAGGAACAGAAGGAGGAGGTAAATTTAGGAAAAGACTTTCCCTGCCTCTCAATTCTGTAGTTCTTCATTTCATAGCAAATAACAGTCTTAAAAAAATAAATGAATACGTTCTTGTTATATGAAGAAGCCAAAGGTTATCTTTGACAGCACGGATTTAGAGTCCCTAGCTGTTTCAGTCAATGCCTCTATTGGGAAATATACAGTAAGTTCCATCGGGGCAGTTTAATAAAGGAATTATTTGTAAGACTTAAAGGAAGCCATTATTATATTATACACTTAATATACAATAACACATTGTATATTACAATATACATTATATTATATTGTGTATATTATACAATATAACTAATAGGAATTAAAATAAAAACTTGAAAAAAAAGAGATAAGGGAAGCCAACAAGAGCTAATAAATGAGAGCAGATGTGATGACCTTTGGGCCTAAAGGAGCATGGGAAAGGAGAGGTCAGTGGCAACTGTAGAGAGAAAGCTGTGGCCATAGGAGAGAACCACTGTACAGGAGCTGTAGCCCTGAGTTACAACAGAGCTTCTTCTAGGCAAGGAGTGTCCCAGGGAATGAGTCGCCCATTCTCTTCCCACCCCCCATTCTCCTGCCTGTTGGTTGAACCCAGTGAGAAGGCAAGAGAACTCATTGGTGAGGTCCATATCCCTGTGAAGAAGGGTGGACAGTAGACCTACACTGGCTCACATTCTCTCTCCTCTTTTCACTGTCCTTACCTTGGTCTTTCGCAGGTTACAAACTTTGAGTTTAGTTTGTTTTCTAAAACTGCTATAAAAAAAAGATCAACTGTAGAACATGCCAATGATAGTAAAACTGCTTTAAACTCGACCTGAGGATGCCTTGAATTTGATTATGATTTCCTGTTTAGAAATCAAATAAATACACATCCTGGCATGGATAATGAATCACTAATACAGCATACTATTAAACTTTGCGTCATTCCTGATTTCTTTGATACTAGCATAGTCAAATGCCATGGGATTTTTTTTTTTCCTTTTTAAGTGCCATGTTAATTTAAAGAAAATGAAGACAGGGGCACAAATTAGGTAATCACTTAGAGAAATAATTCATTTTTTAAGATGATGTACTATCTAGCTATAGTTTGTGAGAGAATTTTCTGATCCCTTCATTTTATTGAGGAGTAATCAGAAACAAGTTTCTCAAGGTAACAGCTATTTGTGGCAGTGTAGAACCAAAACACAAGACTTCCGATTGCAAGTCTACTGAGATTTTTTTTCATTATTCCACCCTTTGGTGATCTAGTCCCAAATGCATTTTTTAATAATACTTTTCATTTATTAGGGACTTACTGTATGTCCATCACTGATCCTATAATACATTGTAGGTTGTGTATTCTGTTAGTTAACAGGTTGATTTTAGGTGCCAAATTTCTGGGATTCAGGTCTCAGCTCCCCAATATCAAGCTGTATGATCCTGAGCAAGCCATTGTGCCTCTTACAGTCCACCTATAAAATTGGGAAAATTATAGCATCTACCTTAAATGGTTGTCAAAAGGATAGAAGAGAGTCCATATGTTCAAGGCCTGTAGAATGTTAGCTGCGTATAGTACATCCTCAATGCATGTAAGCTGCTATCTGTTATCATCCCCATTTTAAAACTGAAAAAAAAAAACAAAAACAACTGAGGCACAAGAGGTTGAGTGGCTTGCACAAGATCACAAAGCTAGTAAGTACAGCTGGGATTTTTCTTTTTCCAAAATAAATTTTCAAATAACTTTGTTTTAATCAATGTGACTTTAGCTAATTATGTTAATTACATATTCTTTTACCTATGCTCCATAGTGAATAATGGGGTACAAATCTAAGGCTGTGCAGTTAACTACATTATCAGCCTGAAGCCAGGAATAACCAGGTAGCTGCTCGTATTTGTCTCAATTGCTTTTGCCTTCCTGGCTCTTGAATACATGAGTCTGATAATGCGTGACAGCCTGTTAGAAAGCACAAAGAACTACCATGTCTGCCTTCTCCTGATGAAAAATGATTCCCCCTTAGGAGCAAAATCCATGGCAATGATTTCATCCTTGAGATTATTTAGAAGAAAAGGAAGCATGTTCCTTGAAAATATTTCTTAGCAAACATATAAAAGAATGGCCTCTGGGTTATTTTTAATCAGTGCTTAGAAACAAGAGTTCTTTCCCTGTTTGTTAGTTTCCTATTGTGGGTAGATCTTTTCAAGCTGCACAGTGTTCCATACAAAATCCTTCATACAGCACGGGATGGGCAACAGTTATTTGTTGTATAGTCATGAACAGACATGTCAAGGTAGGGCTGTTTGTTGGCTCCTTCTGAAAACTATCCTGTCATTTTCAGGTTATTGAGGTAGTGAATGGAGGGGAGGTATTTTGTAATCAATAACAATCATGGCCACTGCTTAGTGCATAAAGTTATTTCCAAAGGGAAGATAACAAAGTTTATGGACACTGTGACTTGTATCTTCCTTCTGTGCTCATAGTAGCCTGGTCATGGGCACCTGAGACATGCAGTGGTTACCTTCTTTTAAACTCTTTTGCGAGTCTTTTATAAAATGAATATTAAGACCACTATGCCATTCTACATGTTCATGCTGACATCCACTTATGTGTTTTTTGTTTGACTTTCTGTTTAGGCATAAGAATGCTGGATGGCATTGTGACTGACGCTATTGAAGCCAGTTCAATTGGATTCAATCCCGGACATGTGGATATTTACAGTGCCAGTTGGGGCCCTAATGATGATGGGAAAACTGTGGAAGGGCCTGGCCGACTAGCCCAGAAGGCTTTTGAATTTGGTGTTAAGCAGGTTAGATACTTAATATAGATCTACCTGAAATGAAACCTGGCCATTTGTATATGAAGGAAAGGGAAGAACACTTAGTTTATATCAAAAGAAATGGCTTTGAATTTCTTATTGTTGCTTACAATTTGAAATGCATTTAGAGAGCCAAATCATTCTTCAGAGGGATGGAACTTAAGGGTTAAGGGAGTTTTCCCTAATTGGGTCTGACATTCAATAGAGATTCATTACTCTTAGAGTATTTACTTAAAAAATACTATGAATATGTCCTTTCTCATTTTTCTGCTGATTTAAGATTTTTACACTAGGTAAACTACCACCCAGACTTCTTTCAAATCTCTAGAGACACATCCTTAAATATAGCTACATGCTACTTCCTCTTTTGTATGTGCCTGGTACATACTTGTGCCTTGATTGTGTTGCTCCATTTACCGCATTCTTACCAGGATTCTAAGGCCTTGTTCTGCACAGGATAAAACAAAAGTAGAAACTTTGGAGAGCACAAATTGAGAAGTCATAGAAAGAGTAGCCTTGACGAATTTCTTTCAACTGAAGAGTCCCTTTTAATGCAGCTGCAAAACAGATCTGAATAATGTCTGATTTTGTCATTCTATCAGTCAGCCAGAAGATTTAAGCAGAAAGAGAGGAAGTTCAAAGATTCAAACGCAGCAACATAAGCCAAGGAAAGAGTGAGAGAATACAAGCGAGTGCTAAAGGCCAGATTGTGAATCCTTACAATAAGGAAAAGAAAGAAAGAAAGAAAGAAAGAAAGAAAGAAAGAAAGAAAGAAAGAAAGAAAGAAAGAAAGAAAAGCACTCACTGACTCATCCCAGAGAGGGCCCAGATGAAGGAGGACTAGCAGAGCCATGGCCCAGTGGCTTGTAATATGAAGTCTTGTGAGATTTCCAGCACGGATGCTGGAGCACCTGGCATTGAAACAGACTCCAAATAAATGTCTCTGGGAACTTCATGCATGTATTTGTTGGGGATTTTATAGGGACGTGACAGTGATCCCAACAGATGATAGATGTGATATAGTCTGGCTTTTCTTTTAGGGAAGACAAGGAAAGGGCTCCATCTTCGTCTGGGCTTCTGGGAACGGGGGACGTCAGGGAGATAACTGTGATTGTGATGGCTACACAGACAGCATCTACACCATCTCCATCAGCAGCGCCTCCCAGCAAGGCCTGTCTCCCTGGTATGCTGAGAAGTGCTCCTCCACCCTGGCCACCTCATACAGCAGTGGCGATTACACCGACCAGCGAATCGTATGTTGCTTTTGTCTAACTCCTCTGCTTAGGTAGGGGAGCAGGGCTTGCATTCAACAAGATCCTTTGGTCAGTACCTTTGGTAAAATTGCTTGGCTTAAGCTTGATGACTCAGCTGGGGAGATTCACACTTTGCTCACCTGAAAGGCTGGCATCTATTGGGGAGTTTTCTCTCTCAAGGATAATGATGCCTCTGCTAAGATGATGTTGCCTCTCTGTCATCTTTAAACCCAGCCCTGGGAAGCCACTAAGTTGTCATTACATACAGCCAAGAATCAAAATATCTATTCTGCTTGTGTGATGCCTCCCTGAGAACAGCCTTAAAGGAGATTACAGGGTTGTAGGGGCTTCACCACCCTTGTACTTACTGATCCTTTAATAGCGGGGATATGGTCTAACATGCCCTTTAGCAGATGATAAAAATACAGAACATACAATAGCTATGTTTCCTATGAATGGATAACCTGCAGGAAAATAACGGTCTAAATTTCCCCCGAGATGAACTTCTCAGCATCTGAATAAACAGCTCAGGAAGGTTATATGCTCAGAGAGCATCTCCAGCCCACACTTGGCTGTGCCTTCACTTCCATGAGTCAGACTGCCAAGGGCAATTATTGGATTTCCCTTCAAGGGCACAGTGATGAAGGGCCATTCGGGGGCTTTGCAAACAAAGGGAAGTACTTTTAATTTTAAACTGTATGGTCCCAAATTTTAACTCCTGATACAGAAAGAACCATCTAGCTAAAGTATCTAAATTCTAATCTCTATGAAATAATAGGTCATGATTCAATTAGATTGTAGGTGAATCCCATGATAATTAGACACTGGAATGTGTGTAAGATTCATATTAATGGCGTCTCAAAAAAAATTGCTAGTTCTCTTTTCCATACAGGATCACTATTCTGGAACTCTGCCTGCTTCTGCAACTTACTCTAGTTTAGACAGTAAACCTCTAGCCTCAACTTGAAACATTGGCCTCCCTCTCGTGCCCTTATATTCAATTACTCAAATAATAGATGGTGATATTCTACCCAGAAAATCTTTATGACAGGTATATTTTATAGCCTTTGAAAGAGGCATAGCAGACATGTATCCCACTTATATTCAGAGTCCCTGACTATTGTTGTCCCTAGGGGTATCTAAAGTTGCTTTTCAGAAAGTGGCCTGTTACACATTTCAGTCACCATTTCATAGACTGTCCCTCATCTGAGCTATTATGCTGTGAAGTAGGAGGAAGAGTTTCCATCTTTGTAAAGTTCTCTCCTTAGGTAAATCTGCCATAGGAGAGACAGCTGGTGGATTCTATTTGAGATGGTTGCAATAACATAGCCTTTGTCTTACGCAAACCTTTTCCTCAGCACAGTCATCTCTGGGGGCTTACTTGCGTCAATAGGGAAAAAGGACAACCTTGCTTCCGCAGCCCTCTAAGGAGCAGAGCCACCATAACTTGAGAAATTCAGCGACTCAAAGTGGGAAGCCAAAGGAGGTGATAATAGAACAAATTATTTTTTTACACCTCCCTCCCACACATTGAAATCTCTAGCTAAAAACGATAGTGCAGGAGCCTGGGTGGGTGTCTTGTTAGTAATCCTTTGGCCCGACTACTTGCTAAACCAGCAATGCTATGGTCCTTAAGGCAGACTGATTGGAAGTCTTTTTGGTTTCTTCCCTTCAGTCTTGGCAACCTCTTCATTAAGATAAAATTAGCCTGGGTAATTCCTTACATGCAGTAATATTGTGTAAGAATGCTTTCACAGACAGGATCTCATTTCATCCTCAGAATATGAGTCAGGAAATGTCAACCTCATTCTACAGATGGGGAAACCATGTGCCCATGGGACACATCTACTGAGTAGCAGTTTTACAATTTGTAACCAGATCAGAATCTGACACACCTTTCATTTATTTGAAAAACACCATTTTCATCATAGTGCAAATATGGACACTAACTCATGGCCATCAGATGATATCAACAGTGAGTGCACACTACATACATACTAAGAAAATTTGTGCAAGTAGTTCAAGTGGCCAAAATCAGAATGGCTCTACATCCTCGTGCTGAAGAGACAGTCAGATGTCAATTTGAAGGCAAATGGGAATTTTGCATGAAGCAGAATTTCTAAATATGCCAGACTAAACACAATGGACCTGATGATTAATGGGCCAGCATGATTCACAGTGATTTTGAAACTGTCCCTTCTTTACAGACAGTATTTCGTTTGGGAATCTCAGAAAATATTCATAGTGGGAGTACTTCATCCCCAGAAAAGGCATCTTGATGCCAGAATTATACACAAGTTGTATATAGAGGAGAGTGAACTAAAATATCAGCAGATGGCAAACATCCGCCTATGGTTTAACAGAGGAAGTAGGGAATCGAATCAGCTGAGTTTCCTGATCGTAGCAGATGCAGCCTTAGGTATGGTTAACCCCCAGGGATGGAGAACACTCCTCACATGCTCTCCTGCATTTCTTCCCTTCCGGATGCCACCCAGACCAGTGCCGACCTGCACAATGACTGCACAGAGACCCACACGGGCACCTCAGCCTCAGCACCCCTGGCTGCTGGCATCTTCGCTCTGGCGCTGGAAGCCAAGTAAGGCCCAGAAAGCTTCTAATCACCTTTATTGCCTCTCCTTCTTTTTAATAACATATATTGCTTTCTCAATTATGCTTACAGTAGGAAACTTAGAAAACTATTAAAATATAAGTCCTCTTCCTGTTAACATCTCCATGTAGATTTAACACACACACACACTTATCTTACAAAATTGGGAACTTAGTATACACGTAATTTTGTAATTTTTAAAATCTACCCTATAATATATTAAGAGCACTTTCTCATGGCCAAATCAATGTTCTTTGACCTTTAAAAATTCATGCCTTCCTCCCAATTTTTCTCCCACTTAGCTGCAAGGCCTTCTCACTTCTGTTTGTTCCCACCAGGAAAGACTTTGTCCAGATAATTTCCTGTGGGCAGTATTAGGAACAATAAGCTTATAAAACATCCCTCTTTTTTCAGATTATATAAACCAATCCTAGAGCTGATCTAACATATCAGGAAACATGAAAATTAAAAACAGAATTATCTGTTTGTAGTATCCCATTATATAAATGAGAATTATATTAAAGTCATCTAATCATGTTTAGATACACACTCTTGTCCATAAATATTGGTTGTTATCTCTGATAATTTCCTCAGGATAAACACCCCTGATTGGAATTTCTGGGTCAAAGGGCATGCATGTTTTAATGATTTGGCTACATACTGACAAGTTACTATCTAGAAAGACCATATCATTTTACATTACCTTCAATACTGTGTCCAAGTGCGAGTTTCCTTACCAAAGTTACTTTTATTATCTTTTAAAATGTTTGCTATTTTAATAGGGCAAAATGGTATCTCAACTTTATATGCTTTTATTTCACTAGTGATGAAGCTCAATATCTTATATTCTTTGGCCATTTATCACCTGTGATTGCTTGTTTATGACCTTGATTTTGTTTTATGACCTTAGTTTAGAAAAGCTATTAATGCTTGGTTAGCTTGACATTTACCTTTTAATTTTACTTATATGTAATTTTTATTGCAATGAAATGAGTATATATACACCTATATTTGTCAGTATCTTTAAGACTTTTTCCTTTGCTTTCATGCTCAGAAAAATATTTACGACCTCAAATTAGATTAACATTTATTTATATGTCTTTTATTATGATTCCTTTGCCATATCTAAATTCTAAATTCCCCTGGAATTTTAGTGTATGATGTTAAAAAAGGATTTGGCATTATTTTTTTCCTCATATTGGTTACCCAATAGTAGAACTCTTAATACAGAGGAAAAAATCTAACTGTTGCACACTGTGTATCTACAGCTTTTTATCTGTCCTTGTTTCTGCTTTCTGGTGGCAAGAAAACTTTCAATATCAAGTCAGGTGCTCTGGTTGCATGATAGAGGAGGTGGTTAAATTTGCAAGTTACTGTTATCCTCCCTAATAAGAAGGTTATCATAGAAGAACATCTGTATTCTCTAGAGAAAGAACAAAGCATTCCCCTCACATCATATTCAGTAGAAGAGGTTCATAATAGCAGAAAAATAGAACACCTTGGCCTGTGCCATGGCTGGAAAAACTCTGAAGTATTTGTTCTGGAAAGTCCAATGTAGATCCAGGAGCCCTGGGGCCACCTGTGAAGTTATGGTTTCGTCGTGGTATCTCAGCAATGAGATGGCCACAGTGGCTAAGCAAGACAGGCCTAGGAAGTTTTGCATAAGAATTTACCTAGTTGGAGGGACTGGGAAGATGTCTGGTAAGGGAAGAGAAAATCCAGGGGCTCAGTCAGAAACAGGGAAACTTGAAGCTCTGGGGCCCAGGAGAAGAGCTGCATTGAGAATCTGAGTTCACTTGTAACAGGAGAGGAATGAACAGAAGGCAGAGTCTATGAACACAAGGTCAGACTCGCATCAGCAGATCCAACCCAAATTCAAGGAAAAATAATCTAAGCACTCAAAAGTTCAAGGAACACATGGCTTCAAGTTCTAGGCATATCCCTACCTTAGGCAAGTTAATCTCCAGTTGAGGGTTCAATTTACTAGCTCTAAAAGGGAAGGGTTAGATCTTTTTTTTTTTTTTTTTTTCCAAATTTCTTCCTTTTTGAAAATTGAAGGTATCATCTAACACGAATTACTGAAGTTGGTGGTGGAACATCCAGAGTCGAAGAAAATAAGGTCAAATGAAAGCAAGCTGTTTCACACAGATGGTGAAATAGGCTGATGATAGTTGTGATTTGAGAATATAAGCTGTTAGTTCCAGGAAGCTATAAAAAAAATTATCCTTAAAATTGTAAGTCTTTTCTACCCAACACTTATCAGATGCATGTAAATAGAAGTATCCAGGCCTAACCCATCCTTGTCTAGTGACCAGTATAGTAGAAACACCTATCTCAATGAACAGATGTAATATTAATTTCATGTAAGAACTGAAAATTAAAATTATAACCTCTGATTTCTAAAATTTCAAACTTTTTTCTGTGCAAGAAGAAAATGATCTAAGAATGATCTAGCCTCATTAAATTCAGTTAATTTTTAAGAGAATATTTTTAAAGCAGGAGCTTCATGGGTTGCTATGAAATAACATAAATGAGTTACCAGCAGTTGATGAACTTCACTGAAACTAGATGCAGAATTGCTTATGAGTATGTGTATGGCACTTTTCTGAAGGAATGGTTTGTGGGTTCCATGAGCTTCTCACACCGTTCATAATATAAGAGATACTAGGAATCCATGGTGCATATAATAAGAATTTAATTCCTTTCATTTTGATTCAATCGTCAATAAGATAGACATACTGTAGCTTACATTTTATATACGTCCTGACAAAGTACATGGAAATTAGTGAGACATCTGTTCTCAAATAGACAGGTTTCTGAACTCTATTCAATTGTCTACACCAAGATGATTATTTCAGAAACTCTGAATGGCAGAATTTCTTTTTTTTTAAATACGAAATTTATTGTCAAATTGGTTTCCATACAACACTCAGTGCTCATCCCAACAAGTGCCCTCCTCAATACCCATACCACCTCCACCCCCTACCCCCATAAGCACCTAGTTTTTTTCTTCCAGTTTTTAGGGTCTTATGTTTGTGGCCCTCCCTCTCTAACCATTTTTTTCGCCTTCCCCTCCCCATGGCCTTCTGCTAAGTTTCTCAGGATCCACATAGGAGTGAAAACATATGGAATCTGTCCTTCTCTGTATGGCTTATTTCACTTAGCATAACACTCTCCGGAGTTCCGATCCAGTTGCATCCAAAAGGCCATATTTCATTTTTCTCATTGCCGAGTAGTATTCCATTTGTATATATAAATACAATTTCTTTATCCATTCGTCAGTTGATGGACATTTAAAACTCTTTCATAATTTAGCTATTTTGAGAGTGCTGCCATGAACATTGGGGTACGAAGTACCCCCTATAATATCAGTACTCCCGTATCCCTTGGGTAAATTCCTGACTGCGTGCTACATGCGTTATAGGGTATGCCTATTTTTTACTTTTTGTATGAACCTCCACCCACTGTTTTCCAGAGCGGCTGCACCAGTTTGCATTCCCACCAACAGTGCAAGGGGTTCCCATTTCTCCAACTCTCCAGCATCTATAGTCTCTGATTTGTTCATTTTGGCCTCTACTGACTGGCGTGATGTGTATCTGAGGTGTGGTTTTGATTTGGTATACCCTTGATGAAAGTGACATTGAGCATCTTTCATGTGCCCTGTTGGCCATCTGGATGTCTTCTTTAGAAAGTGTCTATTCATGTTTTCTGCCCATTTCTTCACTGGATTATTTGTTTACTCGGTGTGGAGTTGTTGAGCTCTTTACTTTATTGATTTTGGATACTAGCTCTTTGTGATAGTCATTTGCAAATATCTTTTCCCATTCCATTTGTTGCCTTTTTTTAGTTTTGTTGGTTGTTTGTTCCTTTGCTTTGCAAGCTTTTTTTATCTTCATGAGTCCCAATAGTTCATTTGCTTTTAATTCCCTTGCCTTTGGAGATGTGTCAAGAAGAATTGCTGCGGCTGAGTCAGAGAGGTCTTTCCTGCTTTCTCCTCTAGAGGTTTTGATGGTTTCCGTCATCTCACATTCAAGTCCTTTATCCACTTGAGTTTGTTTTTGTGAAACCTGTAAAAGTGGTTAGTTTCATCCTTCATGCTTTGCTGTCCAGTTCTCCCAGCACCATTTATTCAAAAGACTGCTTTTTTCCATTGGATGTCTTTCCTCTTTGTCAAAAGATTAGTTGCCATCGTTTGTGGTACCTAGTTCTGGGGTTTCTATTCTATTCCATTGGTCTATGTTCTGTTCTGTTTGTAGATAATGGCAGAAATTTCTAAAAGTGCCTCCTAGATCAATCAAGATTGGGATATCATTTAACCAAAGGGTGCACTCCTCCAAAGGAACAACTATATGAGACAACTGTGTGCTAAATTATCAAGAATAATAACCTTCAGTATTTGTCGGGTTCTTACTATGAGCTGGACACTGTGCTAACCTCTTTGTACATACAATACTAATTCAGCCCTTACAACACAATTTGAAAAGAAATTGATACTTTGCATTTTATAAAAGAAGAACTTGAAGGCTTAGAGAGGTTGAGAAATGTAACTCAAGCCAAAGCAGATTCAAATTCAGATCTGTCTACCAAAATCCTGTACTTATCTGCTACACAAGGCATACTACACTGCTCCACAGGACCCTGCAAGGGAAGGGAAATGTGTTGGATTGGCGAGTCCATCGGAGCCCTCAAAGAAAGAGAGTGTTTAAGATATTGATGCTGATAAAGGACTGTCTAACTCATGTTCTCGTGAGTTTATCATAAAAGACTCCTTGTCACAGAGGATTACCTATTATACTACATTAAACATTAAGCTGACATGCGGAATGCCAGAGGAATGGGAAAGAGGAGAACAGGGAAAAGAAGCGTATTGGCTCAAATATGTGTAGAGATATTTTTCTTTCCTAAGAAAAGTGTTTCTTGAACAGCATAATCCTTGCTTTATTTAATAGGCGAGATTCCCAAGTCCTAATGCCAGTGCTCCAGATTCA